TACTAATAAAGAAATACCTGAGACTGAGTAATTTATAAAGGAAAGAGGTTTAATGGACTCACAGTTCCACATGGCTGGGAGGCCTCACAATCATGGTATAAGGCAAAGGAAGAGCAAAGGCACACCTTACACAGCGGCAGGCAAGAGAGCGTGTGCAGGGGAACTGCCCTTTATAAAACCATCAGATCTCATGAGACTTATTCAGTATCACGGGAACAACACAGGAAAAATCCACCCCCATGATTCAATTACCTCCCACCAGGTCCCTCCAATGACACGTGGGGATTATGGGAGCTACAGTTCAAGATGAGATTTGGGTGGGGACACAGCCAAACCATATCACCACTCTTGATGTGTGCATACACAGCCTTGTTCAGGAGGACAAAATGAATGACACCTTCTCCATTTCCAGATTCCGAAAAATAGAATTCTTCAGCAAAAGACATCTCATCACAAGGTTCTCAGATTCCTCTTATGTTACAATTGGAAGAGGGCTAAGAAATACGTGGCATTTGGATTACAAAAGTGCTCTGGAAGCCAAACTCCACATATACAGCGTTGAAACCACAAGTCAGCATTGGGTACAAACTGGATGGCAAGAGAACCAAAAGGCAGATCAAGAAAGCAGCAGGGGCCGGGTGCAGTGGCTCACTCCTGTAATCCCAACACTTTGGGAGGTCAAGGTGAGAAGATTGCTTGAGCTCACGAACTTGAAACCAGCCTGGGCAATACAGTGAGACCCCATCTCTACAAAAATTTTTTTAAAATTATCTAGGTGGGGTGACTTGTGCCTAAGGTTCCAGGTACTTCGGAAGCTGGGGCAGGAGGATCGCTTGGCCGTGAGCCAAGTTCATGCCACTGCACTGCAGCCTAGGCAACAAAGTGAGATCCTATCTCACACACACACACACACACACACACACACAGAGAAAGAGAGAGAGAAAGCAAGAGAAAGAGACAGAGAGAAAGCAGCAGGAAGGGAGAAAAACTTCTCTTTTAAATTTTTTATACTGATAATTTTGGCTTGCTCATCAGAAACAGGGATAGGCTCACTGAAAAGGGAATTAAAAAATTCAAAACATGAGGCTGGGTGTGGTGGTTTATGCCTGTAATCCCAACAGTTTGGGAGGCTGTGTTGGGAAGATCCCCTGAACTCAGCAGAAAAACGCTGTAACTACCACTGGACTTCACCTTGGGTGAAACCACAAGACCCCCATCTCTTAAAAACAAACACCTAAGACATGAAAACAGAGAGGATCCCAGAAAAAGATGGGCACACAGCTCTGATCCAGACTCAGGTCAGATGGCCAACAGCACTTGTGGGACATCAGAAAGACTTTCTTTTTTCTTTTTTTTTTTGAGACAGAGTCTCGCTCTGTCACCCAGGCTGGAGTGCAGTGGCACGATCTTGGCTCACTGCAACCTCTGCCTCCCAGGTTCAACTGATTCTTCTGCCTCAGCCTTCCAAACAGCTGGGGCTACAAGTGTGTGCCACTACACTTGGCTAATTTTTGTATTTTTAGTAGAGACGGGGTCTCACCATATTGGCCAGGCTGGTCTTGAATTCCTGGCCTCAAGTGATCTGCCCACCTTGGCATCCCAAAGTGCTAGGATTACAGGCATGAACCACCGTGCCTGGCTGCCTTGTATTTTTCATTCACCAATTTCACAGCTTCTCCTACAAGACCAGAAGATCTGGCACTGGTGCGCCAACAGTCTGGCACCCAACAACTGCCTGGCACCCGTCAGCGGATGCCCCTCTAAACAAGGCAGGCCATTTGGGCAGCTGCAGTTGCTACCTGCCTGTCCCTGCTTCTAGATTACAGAACAATTTGAGAGCAGTCTTGGAAAAGGGACAACACAGGCCTTACCTCCCTATGAGAAAGGAGAGATGTTCAAGAAGATGGGTGACAAGCTGGGCATGGTAGCTCACGGCTATAATATCCCAGCACTTTGGGAGGCTGAGGCAGGAGGATCACTTAAGCCCAGGAGTTTGGGACCAGTCTAGGCAACACAGTGAGACCCAACTCTACAAAAAATAGAAAAATTAGCCGGGTGTGGTGGTGTGCACCTGTAATCCCAGCTACTCGGGAGGCTGAGGGGCGAGCATTGCTCGAGCCTGGAAAGTTGAAGGCGCAGTGAGGTGTGACTGCACCACTGCACTGCAGCCTGGGCCACAGAGCAAGACCTCGTATTCAAAATAATAATGAGATGGGTGGCACATGTTCCACAGGGTGGCCCCCAGAGGCGCCCAAGGTGGGAAGTTGTCAGCAGCACTCGGCCTCCAAACACTACCCTGCCTCTGCGAGGCAGTGCTGCACATTTTTGGCAAGAACAGCTCTGTCAGCCTGAGATAAACTCAAGGTTCTTCTTGTAAAATAAAAAAGCTGAAAGTTTTAAGTACATTTTCACACTGATTTGTGCCTCCATGAAGACATGAGTAAAAGTGGGCTACCTCTGAAAATCCTAAAAGAGTAACTTATGTTATGGTGGTCTACAGCATGATCATCACATGCCACATTCATACGTATGCCGAGGATACAAACTTCAATCCATTCCTACCATCACACACAAAAATTAACTCCAAATGGGTCACAGACATAAATGAAAAACCTACAAGTGTAAAACTTCTACAAGAAAAAAGAAGAAAATATTTGTAAGTTAGGTTACACAGGTTTCTTTCTTTTTTTTTTTTTTTTTTGAGACGGAGTCTCACCACCCTGTAGCCCAGGCTGGAGTGCAGTGGCGTGATCTCAGCTCACTGCAAGCTCCGCCTCCCGGGTTCTCACCATGCTGCTGCCTCAGCCTCCCGAGTAGCTGGGACTACAGGCACCCACCACCATGCCCAGCTAATTTTTTGTATTTTTAGTAAAGAGTGGGTTTCACCGTGTTAGCCAGGATGGTCTCGATCTCCTGAGCTCATGATCAGCAGGCCTCGGCCTCCCAAAGTGCTGGGATAACAGCCGTGAGCCACTGCGCCCAGCCAAGTTACACAAGTTTCTTAAGTATGGTACCAAAAAGCATGATCCATAAAACGACTAACCCTCATCAAACTTTTTTTTTTTGAGACGGAGTCTCACCCTGTCACCCAGGCTGGAGTGCAATGGCATGATCTCAGCTCCCTAAAACCTCTGCCTCCTGGGTTGATGGTATGATGTGCCTCAGCCTTCTGAGTAGCTGGGATTACAGGCATGGGCCACCACATCCCAGCTAATTTTTGTATTTTTAGTAGAGACAGGGTTTCACCATGTTGGCCAGGCTGGTCTCGAACTCCTGACCTCGTGATCTGCCCACCTCGGCCTCCCAAATTGCTGGGATTACAGACGTGAGCCACCGCGCCTGGCCCAAACTTTTAAAACCACTTTTAAAGACACTGTTAGAAGAATGAAAAAGCCACAGACTGGGAAAAAACATGCATATATCTGGTAAGAACTCTCAAAACTCAATGATAAAAAAACAATAACCGACATACAGGAAAAGCTGTATACAAATTCTTCACCAAAGTCACACAGAAGGCAAATACGCACATGAAAAGATACTGCTACACATTCACTAGAATGGCTAGAATTAAAAAGACTGACCACACCAAGTGTTGTTAAGGATGTGGAGGAACTGCAACTCACAAACACTGCTGGCAGGAATGTAAAATGGTACCACCATTTCGGAAGACAGTTTGGCAGTTCCTCACAAAGTTAAATACACACCTGCCATAATAACCAGCTACTCGAATCCTCTGTATTTATTACTCAAGAGAAATCAAAGCATATGTTCACACAATAAACTGCATGTAAATATTAACAGCATTTTCCTAATAGCCCAAAACTGCAAATAACCCAAACGTTCATCACATGGTACATGGATAAGCAAACTGAAATATTTATTTCCATACAACAAAATACTACCTAACAATAAAAAGGAATGAACTACGGATACACACTACGAGACAGATGGTTCTTTCAAGGCAAAACACAAAAGGAAAACCACTCTAAAGGGAAAAAAATGGGCCAATGTGGCAAACAGCCAGGGACTGAAAGTCGAGACTCTTGGCATAACGGTGTCTTACAGTCATGGGAAACCACTGAGAAAAACTCATCTGGGAGCATCGCTCTGGTTTAAATGGGAAGAACACTAACCCAGGGAGAGAAAGCTCGGGAGCATGACGACCAAGTCAAGAAGGTTTTTTTCAGGCTGTGAACTACAGGCTGAACAAGGGTGGTCATAGTGGAAATGGAAACGAAGAGATGGATGTAAGGACAGAACATAAAGGCAGAATTTTATGATTCACAAACCTGGAAGAATTTGGGGAAAGGACACTGCTATTGTGTCCTCCTCTGTCAGAGTTAACTGTGTTAGGCCAGTGTGAGGCACAAAGCTGCCCCAGCAGTCCCAGGATTAAGGCCACACCACAGCCTCAGATCAGAGTGTGCACCACCACTGCTGCGGGTGAAAAAAGTCCAAAAGGAAAACACCGGAGTGCAGGCTCCTAGGAGGAAATCCCACGAAACCACCAATCTCCTCACGATTCAGACCCAAACCAATTCCACTTTCAATAGTAACAGTGATTTCCAAAATCTAAAAATATTCATATGTACCTTACATGGAAAATAATACTTTTAAAAAAAATATGATCAGAGTGCTAAAGTAGTCAAACAAAAAATTATCTCTAAAAACATTAACATCGAAATTCCACCTGTTAGCATGGCAAGAGTCTTCAGTTTCTAGTAGGTGACACTACTTCATGAACAGATGCTCTGGCAGAGTTAACTCTAACAACCTAGTGATTACAGATTTGCCTTGTGGGAGGACATGAGAAACACAGTATATAAAGCTTTAGTACAGTGAGAATTAAGCTTTTGTTGCACTTATCAACAGGCTAATTTAATGAACTTGAGAAATCGACTCAACCAAGTCCTAATTCTAAACCCACCCTTCTCAAAATCCATCCCTTGACCTTTCTCTCCCATCTGTATGTACAAAGCATTTTATCACCCAGCACATACCTGTTTGGAAGGTAGGATTTGCTCCAGGATACATGTTAGGAGAATAGGCAGGAGCTGCTGCTGCATAGCCCATGGGAAAACCAGCTGAAGAAAAATACAGAACAATCTCATGTCATCAACTGAAGCAGTGACGCACAATCACCAGAGTTCCTGCAAAGCCATCGCTCTTACCTTCGTCCCCAGAACTCCACGGACTGACTTAAGCAGCCCCGAGAGCACTATGTGTGGCCAACGATGTGTCTCTAGTTGTCTTCTTCCCATAGAACTTTGTTTTTTGTTGTTGTCGTCTTTTGAGACAGAGTTTCGCTTTCGTCGCCCAGGCTGGAGTGCAATGGCACGATCTTGGCTCACTGCAACCTCTGCCTCCCAGGTTCAAGCAATTCTCCTGCCTCAGCCTTCCAAGGAGCTTACAGGTGCATGCCAACACACCTAATTTTTGTACTTTTAGTAGAGACGGAGTTTCATCACATCAGCCAAGCTGGTCTCAAACTCCTCACTTCAGGTGATCCACCCACCTCAGCCTCCCAAAGCGCTGGGATTACAGGTGTGAGAACTGCGCCTGGCTTTCCCTCAGAATTTTGACAGGTCACAATTATATATTTTATTTTGTATTTTGGGGGGGACAGAGTTTCACTCTTGTTGCCCAGGCTAAAGTGCAGTGGCACGATCTCGGCTCACTGCAACCTCCGTTTCAAGCGATTCTCGTGCCTCAGCCTTCTGAGTAGCTGGGATTACAGGTGTTTACCACCAGGCCTGGCTAATTTTCGTATTTTTAGTAGAGACGGGGTTTCACCATGTTGACCAGGCTGGTCTTGAACTCCTGACCTCATGATCCACCTACCTTGGCCTCTCAAAGTGCTGGGATTACAGGCGTAAGCCACAGTGCCCAGCTTCAATTATAACATTTCTGGAAGTTTCATTCCAAACTCTAAATCACATAATTACTTAACAAGAGTAATAAGGGTGCTAAGGGTATCACGCACTAGGTCCTGTTACCCTCACCTGACTTCACGGCACAAAGTCTGGAAGAATCACTTGAACCCGGGTGATGGAGGTTGCAGTGAGCTGAGATTGTGCCACCACGCTCCAGCCTGGGCGATGTCGAGCGAGACTGTCTCAAAAAAATAAAAATAAAAAAAAAAAAAGCGGTATAATCTTTATAATAAGTACCAAAAGAATAGTAAAATAATTTTTTTTTTGAGACAGAGTTTCGTTTTTGTTGCCTAGCCTAGAGTGTGACGATGCTATCTTGGCTCACTGCAACCTACGCCTCCCAGGTTCAAGCGATTCTCCTGACTCAGCCTCCCGAGTAGCTGGTATTACACGTCCAGCTAATTTTTTGTATTTCTAGTAGAGATAGGGTTTCACTATGTTGACCAGGCTGATCTTGAACTCCGGACCTCAGGTGATTCACCTGCCCCAGCCTCTCAAATTACTGGGATTACAGGCATGAGCCACCACGCCCAGCTATAAAAGAACTGTTTATAAGTTAATGAAGAATTAAATGAACAGGTTGGGCACGGGCAGAGAAACTCCATCTCAAAAAAATAAAAAGGAAGAAAGCATTTTGAGGAAGAGTTACTTTTTTCCATTAAATGTAAACAAAAAAAAAGTTATAGACCAGACTCTCCATTGGCCAGTAAGAGTACAAAGTTGCATAAAAGCATTTTCCTTTCTCATATCTTCTTAGCTTTTGGCAGTGAAGTTTCAAAATTACAGAAATCTTCCTTTAAACGTGTTTTGTAGACCAAAAATAAAAAAAGCCTAAAAAAGTGTTTTACTCCAATTCTCTTGACCAGTCAGTAAATGACAGCCCACACGGCAATTTCAGCACACTGCCTGTTGTCGCGGTTTCACTGGAACACGCACACCCTTACATGCTCAGTATTATCTACGGCTGCTTTTGTGCTACGAAGGCAGAGTTGAGTGGTTGTGATGACAGAGATGGTATGATCCACAAAGCGTAAAATATTTTTATCTAGACCTTTATCTAACCAATCCCTGCTTTTGACTAACCAAACAACAGGAGCAAAATGAACATACCTCAGCATCCTCACAGCTTTGCACAAAGCTGGTGATTACAAGAGGCAATCCTTGTCTTATTGTACTGATGAGAACCGTAAGCGTGTGCTAATGCCATTGGTTTTGGCCATTCCTCTGGCTCCAGCTGCACTCAGGATCCTCCTTAGCTATTTAAAACACTGTTTAAACTGGTGTTGACACAGCTCATCACTAAATTATCTTTCATCAATTCTGGAAAATTCTGTCACTGCTTTTTCTTTTTTTTTTGAGACGGAGTCTTGCTCTGTTGCCCAGGCTGGACTGCAGTGGCACGATCTCTGCTCACTGCAAGCTCCACCGCCCGGGTTCTCGCCATTCTCCTGCCTCAGCCTCCTGAGCAGCTGGGACGACTGGCTCCCGCCACCACGCCTGGCTAATGTTTTTGTATTTTTAGTAGAGACAGGCTTTCACCGTGTTAGCCAGGATGGTCTCCATCTCCTGACCTCGTGATCTACCCGCCTCGGCCTCCCAAAGTGCTGGGATTACAGGCGTGGGCCACCGCGCCCAGCCTGTCACTCCTTGTCTTATGGTTTCTCTACTCAGTCCTGGAGAAGAGCTCCAGATGTTTCTTTACTGTTGTTTTCCTGCCTTTCCTTATGCTGCATTCTGGTTTCTTCTCTCTTAACAAGTGTTTTGTCTTGACATTAACCTGAAACTTGTTCATACGCCATTTTGTTTCATTTCTTAAAGTTCCAGCTAGTTCTTTTTTCCCAGCATCTTGTTCCCCTCTTATGTTTCTGATTCTTTCTATCTACAATTCTTCTAAATTTGTCTGTGTGACATAGTTTCTATCTGATGGTTCTTCTCCTGCAGTCTGTCATGGGTGGTGCCTCTTACTTGATGGGAGGCATCCCATGCTAGCAGGCAGAACTTTGCCTGCAGGAAGCCCACGCAACCTGGGTTGTGAACATGTGCCCCCACAGCAGTTCTGCATTCGCTGCTGTCAGATGCTCCAGGAGTAACGAAGCCTGGAGACTATTTTTATGTTAATTTCTCAACTTCTGAACCCCTGGGGAGTATAATACAAGCTAGAGCCCCAAACATCTCTGAATGCTTACAAAGTCTTAGTAAGGATCTCCCCCTGTTCTCAGAGCCCAAGCATCCAAACTTCCTCATGGGGCCACTGGACGACTAGACTGTTTAGTCTATCTCTTTGCTGGAGAGTATCCCTCTCCAGAGGGGCGAGAATGATTGATAAGAAGTCTTACTTCCATTCCCTGTTGCAAGGGTCCTAAGACTCAATCTCTACCCCCATGTGGGTTGCTAAAACCCACAAATAGCACGTGTCCCAGGAGAGGCAGGACATTAGTTCAAAGGCCAGGAGAGCTGAGTTTAACAGGGCTTTCACGTTTGACCCCAGCTATCTCTCTTACCTCCTGCAAGTTCAGTTATACGTTTGTAAAATGTTTTATTTCATTTTCTGAGAGTCTTACAGCAACAAAGTTTTGGGGTTATCTCTTCTATCATATTATCAAAACCCAAACTGAAACTGTATCATTACAAATAACTACTCCTTGTGCAAAGTCACCAAAGGCAACAACCATTTGTTATTTTTGACCAACCAGCTCTTGTTCCCTCAATATCCATTTCCTTGCAACCTTCACTTGCAGTCCGTATTTGACTAGCTGACTCCACCAAAGGGATGTGGATCAGGCCTAAGTCAATCAGCAGACTCCCCTTTGTGGACCAGGGATAGACGCTGAGTTTAATCAGAACAAAGCCCAGAACCGGTTTGAACAGAGAACAAGCAGCCCCATCGGGCTTTCCTGTAGGGTAAAGGTAAAGAGGCTCTTAGTGAGGGACTACTGCGAGAGGCCTGAACTTCAGAGACCACAATGAGAAGGAAAGGGACCTGTGACCAACACTAAGTTAACACTGAGGAAGTGAAGCTGAGACCAGGAGGTAGAGAAACTACCTCCTGGTCCCAACTGCTGGAGCCACTAGATCAAGTTTTGACCAAATCCAGTCCTACCACTTGATTGTTTACTTCCAGGTATTTTCTTTCTTGTCTAAGCCACTTAGAGCTACATTTGTCAATAAAAAAAAGTGACATGAAAATATACCAAGTATTCAAAGTTCAAAAATGAAAACAAAATTGTACTTGCTTACCTGGATAACCAATTCCTTTGGCATTTGCATAGGGAACCCCAGAAGATCCAGGACTATAAACCGGATTCATGATTGCAAAAACTAAAAGAAAAAAAAGGCAATTTAGCCAAGCACTTTTGCTCTCTGATTGTTCTCCAGTACCAGTCCCAAAAAAGCAGGCAGCTAGAGTCCTTTCTCTGTGCTGCTTATAAAACAATACATTTCATGCTGTCCACAACCAGCAGAGAACAAAAAAGGGACACTCAATGTCCTAATGGGTGCCAAACCAGGGAATGATCAACTTTTCTTCACACTTCTCCTCAGTCCATCAGAAGCTAAGGAATAAAAATTGTTAGCTCTATGTTCAGTAAAAACAAGGGGAAAGGCCAGGTACGGTGGCGCACAACTGTAATCCCAGCACTCTGGGAGGCCGAGGTGGGCAGATCACCTGAGGTCAGGAGTGTGAGACCAGCCTGGCCAACATGGTGAAACTCCATCTCTACTGAAAATACAAAAATTGGCCAGGCATGGTAGCTCATGCCTGTAATCTCAGCACTTTGGGAGGCCGAGGTGGAGGGATCACTAGGTCAGGAGATCAAGACCATCCTGGCCAACATGGTGAAACCCCATCTCTACTAAAAATACAAAAACTAGCTGGTCGTCGTGGCGCGCGCCTGTAATCCAGCTGCTCAGGAGGCTAAGAGAGGAGAATCGCCTGAACCAGGTAGTCGGAGGTTGCAGTGCGCCAAGATCGCACCACTGCACTCCAGCCTGGCTACAGAGCAAGACTCCATCTCAAAAACAAAACAAAACAAAAACAAAACAAAACAAAAATTAGCCAACTGTGGGGACACACACCTGTAATCCCAGCTACTTGGGAGGCCGAGACATAAGAATCACTTGAATCCAGGAGGTAGAAATGGCAGTGAGCCAAGCTCGTGCCACTGCACTCCAAGGTGGGCAACAGAGCGAGACTTTGTCGCAAAAAAAACAAGCGGAAAACTCTACAAGTAACCAAAATGTTCTCCTAACGGAGGATAGTTAACCAAGATATATCCAGGACATGGAGTATCAGGCAGCTGCTTTTCATGAAATGTTTAAAAACAGAATAATACAATGTTAAGTGAAAACAAAGTAGGGTATTACAATGCATCCTGCACTACACAGTATGATCCCAAATAAACACCCATACGTATAAAGATGTGCATCCCTGCACAAACAGAAAAAAAGTCTCAAAGGAAATATATAAAAATATGAACAGTGACTGACTCTAGACAGGAGTGGATTTAGTGTTCCTTCTGCAGTTTCCTGTATTTATTTACTATTATTACTTTTTTTCCCCAGACGGAGTCTCGCTCTGTCGCCAGGCTGGAGGCACAATCTCAGCTCACTGCAACTCTACCTCCCAGGTTTAAGTGATTCTCCTGCCTCAGCCTCCCACGTAGCTGGGACTACAAGCGTGCGCCACCACACCCAGCTAATTTTTGTATTTTTAGTAGAGACGGGGTTTCACCATGTTAGCCAGGACGGTCTCATCTCTTGACCTCGTGATCCGCCCACCTCAGCCTCCCAAAGTGCTGGGACTGTATTTCTTCCCCCCGCCCCCTACCCCACCCCAAAACAGGGTCTTGCTCTGTTGCCCAGGTTGGAGTTCAGTGGCACAATCTCAGCTCACTGCAACCTTGACCTCCTGGGTTCAAGTGATTATCGCACCTCAGCCTCCCTAGTAGCTGGGACTACAGGTATGGTGCCACCATACCTGGCTAGGTTTTGTGTGTGTGTGTGTGTTTTTAAATAGAGATGAGGTTTCATCATGTTGCCCAGGCTGGTTTTAAACTCCTGGGCCCAAGAGATCCACCCACCTCAGCTTCCTGAGTAGATGGGACTACAGGTGTGTGCCACCATGCCACACTAGTTTCCTGTATTTCTTTAAAAATTTGTTAAATTTTTTTTCCCAATAAAGACTAATTGGTTACAGCCCAGCAACTCTATTAATCCATTCAATGTTTTATCATCCATAAATATTTCCTTTTCCTGACAAGTTCAATAACTTGTACAGCCACAACCAGGACTCCATCCCTTCCCCAATAGAAGTATTCTTGGGAATTGATTCCCATTCAACTCTCTAGTAAGCTCCTCTGAATCCTAACCAGTGAATTATTTAACTTTATTTATTTTTTAGACGTGGTCTCGCTCTGTCAGTCATAGCTCACTGCAGACTTGATCACCCAAGCTTAAGTGATCTTCCCACCTCAGCCTCCAGAGTAACCATGACTACACGTGTGCATTGCCACATCTGGCTCATTTTAGTAGAGACAGAGTCTTGCCCCGTTGCCCAGGCTGGTCTTGAGCTCCTGAGTTCCAGTGATCCTCCCGTCTTGGCCTCCTAAAAATGCAGTGTATTAGAGTGTGAGCTTTCACTATTTCTCATCTGGTAAATTACTCACTGATGCATGTGGTTATAAAGATTAAGATGATCTCTAAGATTTAAAACAGCATGTGTGGGGTAGGGGGCTATATGGGAACTCTCTGTACCTTCTGCTCAATTTAGCTGTAAACCTCTGTACCTTCTGCTCAATTTTGCTGTAAACCTAAAACTGCTAGACCTAAAAAAAGTCTGTTTTTAGGCTGAGTCCAATGGCTTATGCCTGTATTCCCAGCACTGTGGGAGGATCACTTGAGGCCAGGAGTTCAAGACCAGCCTGGGCAATACAGCAAGCTTCCATCTCTGAAAAACAGGTAATGAGTAACAAAACACAAAATGTGCATTTTAGGTCTGCCTTCCCCACATTCCCATTTAGAATGTAGCCAAAACAAGCAGGGAACATGCACCTGGTTCTGCTTAAAGGCAATTGTCTCCAGCATCAATAACACCACCTGGTACAAAATAGGTGCAACTACCTACCAACTTCCTAAAAAACAAATGCCTTTCAGAACACTCTAGGCGTCAAAATCCATTACAAAGACAAAATACGAAAAGAAACCACTTCAAATTGTCAGCTCATTTGACTCATTTAGAATACTCACAACCAAGCAATCCTGTACTAAGAAGAAAATATTAGGTCACATCCTTAGCCTCTGTAACAGGAAGTTCTGGATTAAATTAGGAATCAACTGGCAACTTTAGTAATTAAAACATTCATTACCTGAACTGTCTAATTTTTTTAAGCTTCAAAACCAAAGCCAAATGCCAAAACTGTCATGCCATTCACAGCTACAGCTATGTGATAGGTCTTGACCAGCAATGACCAACAAAACTTTGTAAAATGACCACATCCTTCTCTATCTGTGCTGTCCCCTACAGTAGCCGCCTGCCAAGAGTGCTGAGCACCTGAAAAATAAGGCTAGTGTGAGACTGCATCTTTTAGCTTTATTTAACTTCAAGATAAGTAGTCACATGTGGCTAGGGGTTACTATACTGGACAGTGCAGGCCTACAGTTCAGAGTAGGGAGAAAACAAGTATACAAACAAGCAGGTAAGCAGGAGAATCACTTGTGTGTCTTACCCTATAGTTTAGGAATAAACAAACTAGCAACTGCCAATCCCTATTCCCCTGTACTTTTAACCCATGCTTGGCAGATGTGCAACAAAGAAATTGTGGAGGCCTGCAAATATTTCACCTACTTCTCTGGTTCAACTATCATCTCCCAAGGAGCAAGTATTTCCCAAATGTTATTTCTTTCTTCTGTGCCAGGAGTTAATTTTATTTCTTAATTGAATTCCAGATAAGCAAAGCACTACACAAAGGCCAGAGATAAAACCAAAGGGCAAGTCACAATCTCTTCTGAGTTTTACAATCTAGAAAAGCACTGTCCAACAGAACTGTTCACAAAGATGGAAACAAGCCCTGGCAAGATGGCAAGACCCTGTCTGTACAAAAAGTAAAAAGATTAGCTGGATGTGGTGGTGCATACCTGTGGTCCCAGCTATCTGAGATCAGTTGAGTCTGGGAGTTCAAGGCCGCAGTGAGCTATAATCATATAGCTCAGACAATGGAGCAAGACCCTATCTCAAAAACATAGATGAAAACGTGTCTGTACTGTCTAAATATGGTAACTGAATTTTTAATTAACTTCAATAGTCCTGTGTACGTGACAGCTATTGTATTGGACAGTGCAGACATATACATAAGATTAAAAGTACAAATACTTTTTTTTTTGAGACGGAGTCTCGCTCTGTCGCCCAGGCTGGAGTGCAGTGGCCAGATCTCGGCTCACTGCAAGCTCTGCCTCCCAAGTTCACGCCATTCTCCTGCCTCAGCCTCCCGAGTGGCTAGGACTACAGGCGCCTGCCACCATACCCAGCTAATTTTTTGTATTTTTAGTAGAGACGAGGTTTCACTGGGTTAGCCAGGATGGTCTCCATCTCCTGACCTCGTGATGCGCCCGCCTCGGCCTCCCAAAGTGTTGGGATTACAGGCGTGAGTCACTGTGCCCGGCCTAAAAGTATGATACAAGGCAACAAGTGTTAAGAGTCACAAGAGAATAAAGTGCTCTGAGGGCTGAGAGGGGAAAGCAAAAATTCTATGGGGGAGGGAAGAAATAGGAAAAACTTGATTAAAGGGCAACATTAGGCCGGCACAGTGGCTCATGCCTGTAATCCCAGTACTTTGGAAGGCCAAGTTGGGAGGATCACTTGAGGTCAGAAGTTGGAGACCAGCCTAGCCAACATGGTGAAACCCCATCTCTACTAAAAATACAATAAAAATTAGCCAGGCGTGTTGGCAGGTGCCTGTAATCCCAGCTACACAGGAGGCTGAGGCAGGAGAATCACTTGAACCTGGGAGGCAGAGGTTGCAGTGAGTTGAGATTGTGCCACTGCACTCCAGCCTGGCAACGGAGCAAGACTCCGTCTCAAAAAATAATAATTATTAAAGGGCATCATTTCCAGTGACCAATGGATAGGATCAAATCACCCACAAAAATGAGAAAAAGCAAGATGCATTTTAGGAATATTAGGCAATTGAGTTTGTTTGGAGCTTAGGCTCTATGTAGGGAATCAGTAATAGGTAATTGTGGAGACAGCTTAGGTTACAACCACCAGGTGGAGACCCTTAAATATGGGCTGAGTGGAGATGCCCTCTGGTAGGCAAGGAAGCTCC